GTAATTAGGTAAAGTTTTGTAATTCAGTAAAGTTTTGTAATTCAGTAAAGTTTTGTAATTCAGTAAAGTTTTGTAATTCAGTAAAGTTTTGTAATTCAGTAAAGTTTTGTAATTCAGTAAAGTTTTGTAATTCAGTAAAGTTTTGTAATTCAGTAAAGTTTTGTAATTCAGTAAAGTTTTGTAATTCAGTAAAGTTTTGTAATTCAGTAAAGTTTTGTAATTCAGTAAAGTTTTGTAATTCAGTAAAGTTTTGTAATTCAGTAAAGTTTTGTAATTCAGTAAAGTTTTGTAATTCAGTAAAGTTTTGTAATTCAGTAAAGTTTTGTAATTCAGTAAAGTTTTGTAACTTAGTAATCCTTGTAACTGCCACTACCACAAACAGCTACGTCCTGTCGAATACTCTCAGTGAGGTCTACTCTTATGAGATAACCAATCAGCACATACCCCAGGCTGAAGACGACGACGCTTCTAGCACGGATAAGATGAATAATAAGAAGAGTAATAATAAGAGTGGTATTAAGAGTGATAAAAAAAGCAAAATGGGTGCCGGTGATGATGATCGTGGTGACGGGGTTCGTCGGGGGATTTCAACATCGGTGACTCGGGGTGGTGGCGCCGGTTGTGGTAGTAGTAGTCAAGTTAACCGCCGAAGATATGATGACGACGACGATGATGATGATGATGATGAAGAAGAAGAAGATGAAAGATTTAAGAATGCTTTTAAGAAGGGTAGGCACGATGATGATGACGACGATGATGATAATGATGATGACGCTGATGATGACGACGATGATGATGATGAGGATGATAAGGAGGAAGAAGCAAATGAAAGGTATAACCTAATCGCCCATCAAACCTTTTCATGTTTCCTCACATGCACCCACACCCTATCTCTTTGACTCTTCAATTTACCTCTTCTGGCGACTCTAGCGTTGAAAATAATTATTACTACTACAATTATTTGTATTATTATAATATTTTCATAATTTTTTTAAATAATTCTCTAGCGTTGAAAATAATTATTACTACTACAACTATTTGTGTTATTATTATTATTTCATAATTTTTTTTATTAATTTTATCTAAAATAAAAAAGGCTTGACAATCGGTGGTGGCAGAGGAAGGATTGGATTCAGCAGCAGCAGCAGCAACAACAACAACAACAGCAGATTTTTCAGTAACGCGGAAAATTTCAGTTGGAGAAATCCTCACAACAACAACGTATTTTCCGACAAAAACATCAACAACATCAATAATAATGATAATAAACGCAATAATAATAATAATAGTAATAGCTCTATGTTTCGGGATTCTAATTTGACTATGTTTGTCTCAACCAATGGTAGTAGAGGATTAGGCTCTCAGCAGCAGCAACAACAACCACAACAACCACAACAACAAAGACAGAATCAAATGAAAAGTACAAAGGATGTTTTAAACGTTGTCGTTCTTAACAAAGATGCTGCTAGCAAGAATGTAAGTTTTGTAGGGAAGCCGCTTCTGGTGCTGCACTGTACCTAATCACGTGATCATCATCATTATCAAGTCATCGTCGTCATCATCACCACAAATCATCATTATCAAATAACTTACATCATTATCAGCATCATCATCCTCATCGCTAGCCACAGGCTCCACAGCCAAATCTGATCAGAACGCAACAGCAGCAGCTTCATTTTTCCAAATCATCCTTGTCGTCGTTATCATTATCATCAGCTGGTCCCAGCAATTGCAGGAGAGGGTTCACACACGACGATGATGATGACGATGATGATGATGGTGGTGGTACTGATGATGATGATGATTTTTCCAGAGGTGGTTGTACCAGCCAGGGCGGAGTTGGAGGAAATAGTTGTAGAGTGACTTTCGGTGAGTGAGTGAGTGAGTGAGTGAGTGAGTGAGTGAGTGAGTGAGTGAAGATGAAGTGAACATTTTCACACACACGCATGCACACACGCACGCACATCTAGGTGGATCAAGCTATAGAACATACAAAGACGCAGTTAGTTCTGATTCCAATTACAGCAGAGCCACTCAGAGTAGTATTGCTAGTAGCGCTTCTGCCACTAAAGCCGCTTCAGCTGTTTCAGCTGCTTCAACTGCCGGTGCAGCTACTACCGCTGCTGGTGGCGATGATGAAGAAGATAGGATGTCGTACGTTAGTGACGTAAGTTTTATTCATTTATTGATTCATTCCATCCATTCGTTCATTCATTCATTTACTCATTAATTAATTTATTTATTTTTGTCCATCCATCCTTCACTTTTCGTCCAATTCATTCATTCAATCATTCTTCCATTCATTCATCCATTCATTCATCTAATTCATTCATTCATTCATCCAATTCGTTCATTCAATTCATCCATCCAATTATTCATCCGATCACTCATCCGATCATCTAATTCATTCATTCATCCAATCATTCATCCATGCATTCATCCAATCAATCAATCCAGTATTCAGCATCGAATCCGGCGAACTATTTCGGCAGAGGACGAGCGTTGAGTAGCAGCAACAACAACAACCATGAAAGAAGACCTGGTTAGATGGATGAAGGAATGAATAATTGAATGAATGAATAAAGGAGTGAATGAATGAATGAATGGATGGATAGATAATAAAACGAATGAATGAATGAATGGATGGATAAGAGTAGAGGATAAATGAATGAATAACTGAACAAAAAGAATGAAAAATGACCAGGTTAGAGGAATGAACGAATGCATGAATGAATGAATGCATGAATGAATGAATGAATGAAAAACAAAAACAATGTAAGAAGATGACTTGACTTTATTTGAACAATCAATTAATAGGTCAGATTGGTTGAGGAATAAAAGAGTGAATGAATGAATGAATGAATGAATGAATGAATGAACGAAA